ACCATCTGATGATCCGATTAGGAGAGTAGATGTTTTAGATTCGACTTGTGTTAAGAAAGGCAGAGGTAGACCTAGGAAGACTTGGGCTTATTGTATAAAAAATTATTTTAATTTACTAGAACTAAATGAAAATATGACACTAAATAGGATGCAATGGAGAAAAAGGATTCATGTAGCCGACCCCATGTAGTGGGATTAAGGCTCTGTTGTTGTTGTTGTTCACAAGATATTTCCGGCCGATAATATATGTACACATGCACACATGCACACAATGACGAATTAGTTTAAAGATAACCGTCAAAATTGTCTTCTGATCTTGCAGGGGCTATTTTAATCCCAGAGTCTAAAAATATCAATTTATTCACCATATTTTTTTAATACGAGCTGAAATAATCACCAAGTATATTATTCGAACTTTATTAAAAAGTCGGGTTGAATGTAGCATTTTTATGGATTATGGGGTTCAAATGACTCCTAATGTAGATAGTCGTAGGATCATTTTATTCTATTAGCTTACCTATGATGACTTGGAACATATTCAAGCAAGTTTTCTACTCCACTTTTTCTAGGACATGGGCTGAAGAGGAGGCAAAAAGAGCTAGAGAGCTAGCCAGAGCTCTAGAGGAGGCTAGGGAAAAAACATGGAATCAAAGTCGTCGTTGATGAAGACCTGCAAGCAGATGCCACAACTGGAATTACATGGGTTACTGCTGGGAAACAAACTCCAGCTGATGAAACAATTAGCAGAGCAGAACTTTTGGTGGATAAACTGAAGGCAATGGCTGCTGAAATGAAACTCAAATCATCCATTGTTATCAAAAACATAATTCAAACAATAGCTGCTTTAATTTCAGCGCTCAAGCTGCAGGCTACCGAGGGTTGCAAACAGGTTGTTCTGAAGGCTGGGAGATCAATAGAAAGCTTGAAGGAGAGTGCTTCTGCAGCAAGCTCAAACATTGGTGAAATAGGGAGAAGAATCATTGACGAGTGCAAAGAAGGCGCTGAGAGAATCTCACAGAAGTTTAAAGCTTAGTAATGTTTGCCAAATTTTATTGAATTTTTAGTATTGCTGCATTTTATAATACCTCTGAATATCGTAATGTAATGTTTGCTGACTTGATTTTTATGGGAAAAAGGTTCAATAGTTGGAAGGTGAGAGTGATCGGAACTCCCAATTTCATTAGCTTATCCTTGAGTTGTATTCTGCGTGCAAAGCAAAGCTGAAAAGCTGGTACTCCATTTGAAATAAATGATTGTAAGAAATATAGTTGTATTCGTAAATTCTTGAGCCGCTCAAGTCAAGATGCTTCATACGAAATCTATTGTTTTTTTAATTGTGTGGTAGCGGAGTTTTTTTTTTTTTCCCTAAACTTTTATTTTTGAGATGATTAGAAACACTACATATAAAATGATTTAGATTTGGTAATGTTTTTAGATAATTGTGTGTGTGTGTGTGTCTTTTAACTTTGCAGGGGGACTATTTTAATCCGGAGTCTATTGCAATTGGTGGAGAAGATAGGCGGCAACCGCTACAGGAGCGGCTACAAAACGGGGGAGGGCAGGCGAGGGTGGGCTGTGGCCAAGAGCTGCAGGGAGGGTTGGTGGAGGCAGCGGCATGTGACGGCGGCGGCTGGTGGCGGCAATGCAAGTGGGTGGTCATGATGGCTGAACTAGATGCAGTGAAAGCCACCATTTGCTAATACACGGCTGAACTAGATGCAGTGAAAGCCACCACTTGCTAATACACTCAAAATGAACTACTAGCTGCAATTGAAAATCACTGTCAACTTACATTGAATTCCATTTAGAGCTAACCAAACACGTAAGATTTTGAATCCTCTACATTCTAAATGCAGTACATTATCTCTCCAGCCAATCAAAAAACCCTTTAATTCTTTTTTAATAAATCTCTTCCATACATAAATATTATTTAATTTTCATGTTGCTTGAAGGTTGTCATCACCTGACCCCTCTTATACTTAATTTTACTATACTTAGATTTTGGCTGAAGAGACGAGACATTTGATGGGAAGTAAAATGATGTAAGATATTTGAAATGTAGGGGTTTAAAGAAAAAAATAATACTTGGATTGGAATAAATGAGATTGGATAAAATTATATTGAATTTCAAACTCTTCCCATGTTTCATTTGTAATGCATCTCAATCACTACTGGCTTTAGTCAAATTCAAAATGCACCATAAGCTATGATTGTTATCACCATCCATACTTATCCGTTGACTGGAAGTTACTAACTTTCATAACTGCCGACCATCATAGCCATCAACCATAGTTGTTGTCACCTATTGTTGGATGCACCAATTCTTATTGGAGTCCTCTTATCATCCCACCTAAGAAGTATTGGAGCTACCATCAGGAATGAGATCGAAGATCTTGTGGCTTTAGGACATCAGCTTCAGCATTGGAATCATTCACAAATTGGGTCCCAAGCCATCTGCCCTCTTAGATCAATGAGTCTTGGATGCTCGAGTACAAAGGGAACATCATTGAGTGAGATAATATGAATGCGATCAAATTCTTTAGGAAATATATAAAGAACAGAGTTTGACAATCCTACCAAGTCAACCCAAACTTTGCTTTTTTATGGCAGTTCAAAACCCTTTAATTCTTTTTTAATAAATCTCTTCCATACATAAATATTATTTAATTTTCATGTTGCTTGAAGGTTGTCATCACCTGACCCCTCTTATACTTAATTTTACTATACTTAGATTTTGGCTGAAGAGACGAGACATTTGATGGGAAGTAAAATGATGTAAGATATTTGAAATGTAGGGGTTTAAAGAAAAAAATAATACTTGGATTGGAATAAATGAGATTGGATAAAATTATATTGAATTTCAAACTCTTCCCATGTTTCATTTGTAATGCATTTCAATCACTACTGGCTTTAGTCAAATTCAAAATGCACCATAAGCTACGATTGTTATCACCATCCATACTTATCTGTTGACTGGAAGTTACTAACTTTCATTACTGCCGGCCATCGTAGCCATCAACCATTGTTGTTGTCACCCATTGTTGGATGCACCGATTCTTATTGGAGTCCTCTTATCATCCCGCCTAAGAAGTATTAGAGCTACCATCAGGAATGAGATCGAAGTTCTTGTGGCTTTAGGACATCAGCTTCAGCATTGGAATCATTCACAAATTGGGCTCCAAGCCATCCTCTCTCTTAGATCAATGAGTCTTGGATGCTCGAGTACAAAGGGAACATCATTGAGTGAGATAATATGAATGCGATCAAATTCTTTAGGAAATATATAAAGAACAGAGTTTGACAATCCTACCAAGTCAACCCAAACTTTGCTTTTTTATGGCAGTTCAAACAAGTGGTCTTTCAACACAAATCTAGAAATGGAAATAGTGTTGCACATTATTGTGCTCGCTTAGCCCTCCAAGGAATGTTTACATTAAAAAATGTTAATGAGCAACATGTTCTTTTTTCTCTTGTTTTAGAAGATGGGCTTCATTTTGTAAATGTCCAAGTGCATGTTTTGGTGTTCCTTTTGTAACATTTTGATTTAGCAATGCAAATGCAACATCTCAAGATTGCACCGACTTCTCAACCTCCACTGCCAACCAACATTGAATTCTTTTTTGAGCAACAAAATTGCTAAAATTTGGAATCCCCTCTATTGTAAATGTAGTACATCATCTTTTCAGCCAATCTAACAACACCTTAATTCATTTTTAATAATTATTTTCATAAATAAATATTATTAACTCTCTATGATGCTTAAAAGTTGTCATCATGCTTACATTCGATTTCATTATGCATCAATTCTGGCTACAGAGACAACTATTTGGTTTGAAATAAAGGGGTGTAAAAAACTTGAAATGTTGGGGCTCTGAAAATATTAATATTTGGTTTGAAATAAATGATACTTGATAAAATTTTACTAAATTTTTAACTCCTCATATGTTTCATTTGTAATGTATTTCAATCTCTATTAATTTTAGTTGAATTCAAAATACATCATGAGTCATGATTGTTATCACCATCAATATTTATCCATTGGCTGAAAGTCACCAACTTCCTCAACTACTAACCTTTGCCACTACTATTGGCATTGTCAACCATTGCTAGTTGAATTGACTTTTATTGTAGCCCTCCTACCATCCCACATGGCCAGTATTGGAGTTATCAGCAGCAAAACGACCGGAGATCTTGTAGCTTTGGGACAACTGCTTCGACATTGGGATAGCTCACATGTAGAGCTCTAAACCATCCTCTCTCTCCGACTGATCATAGAGCCTTGGATGTTTGAGTGCAAAGGCATCATCATTGAGGATGATAATGTATATGCGATCAAATTCTTCAAGGAATCTATGCAGGATATAGTTTGGCAAAGTTACCATAAAGCCAACCAAAGCTTTGCTTTTCTATGGCAGTTCAGTCAATTGATCTTTCAACAAATATCTAAAGATGAAAATAGAGTTGCTCATTGTTATACCCACCCAGCCCTTTAATGGGAGTTTACAGTAAATGAAGTTAATAAGCAACATTATCTTTTCTCTTGTTTTAGAAGATGTGCTTCATTTTGTAAATGCCTAAAAGTACGTTTTTATACACATTTTGTAACTTTTTGATTTAGTAATGCAAATACAACTTTTCAAGGATGCACCGACTCGTCAGCCACCACCGCTATTCAGCATTGAATTCTTTTTTGAGCCAAGCAAATAACTAAGATTTGGAATCACCTGTACTCTACATGCAATACATTATATTTTCAACCCAACAAACAACTTCTTTGTTCATTATCAATAAATATTTCCATAAATAAATACTATTAACTCTCCATGCAGCTAGAAGGTTGCTATCACTTAATCCCGCTTACATTTGATTTCACTGTACTTCAATTTTGGCTAAAGACACAGGAGACATTTGGTTTGAAATAAAATGGTGTGAGATACCTGAAATGCAGGGGTTTTGAAAACATTAATACTAGGTTTGAAATAAAAGAATATTGGATAAAATTTTTAATTTCCAAACTTATCCCATATTTCATTTGTAAATTTTAATCTTTATTGATCTTGCTCAAATTCAAAATACACCACAAGCGACGATTGATACCACCATCCATAGTTTTCTTGACTGCAAGCCATCAGCTTTCATAACTACTAACCATCATCACCTCCAGCAACTGTTGTTGTCACCCATTATTGGATGCACCTACTCATCAACCCATATTGTAGCCAACATTGTAACGCTCAATCAAACAGTTCTAAAATATTTTAAATATACTACAATTCAAATACATTATTTGTTTACTATGATTTACTTTTGTAGCAAGCCAATCGACCTTGAAGTGTTACCTCAATGCAACTTAATACTAAAATATCCATCTATTTGCTCAAAGTCAAATTTGCATATATCTCTTCTAATATACATCTTTTTTGGATTGTATTGGATGAGAAAATTGCTAGAAAACATTCTTTCTTGGATGAAAAAGTTTTATGTGAACGTGTTGAATTATGTAAATAAATAAACATAAATCAATTTCACATGAACAAGAAATAAGCAGCAGTGCATGAATTAAATAACAGAAATTTGCTGAAAAGAGTTTAATTGCAGCTAAATGGTTCATAAATATAAGCTATTGAGGTTAAAAGCAAAATTTCTAAAACATTATAAACAGCTGTAGCAAATTGTAGCAGACAAAACTATTAAATTTAGAGATAGTTACAACAATCAGAGATGGCCTGTGAAAACTGTACTACAACAGAAAATGTAGGTATTTCTTATACAAGCAATAGGAGGAATTAATAATTACAATAATTTAAACTGCACAATTAACAAACCAAAAGATTATCTACTCTTGCTGATGGATGGATGTCAGGCATCTTATCGAGAGCTCAATTTGAACTTCCACGCCTTCAACTGTGGCCAATTTCTTCATAACAATATTTAGTAATTGCTCTTTTGAATAAAAATAGCAGAGCAAAATCATGAGATATTAAATGTAGTATACTAAAGGGAAGAGTTCTGCACTGCGTTTTATAAGAGTTCCTGCTTCTGGCTTTGAGATGGTGTTAACAATAGAAGGGTTAGCTATCCTATTTGGGGTTGTATTACAGAATTAAGCCTACAGTCAATATTGTTTCTCCTACATCTACAACTATAAATAGGCCAACTCAGTCTTGCAAGAGCAGACCAAGAGGAGAAAAGAATATATTCATGGCGATTTATTACCCAATCCACTTCTACTACGGATCAAGAACAGCTTCGCCTGTGAGACAGAGAGGAAAGCCA